CTCTCTCTTCTCCCCTCAGAGAGCCCAGGCAGCTCTTCGCGCCCTCACTTCCTCACATGTGGACGGGGCTGTGTTGGCTCCCAGCACCGTGCTGAGGGTGGTGGTGGAGAACCTGATCTACCCCGTCACACTGGACGCCCTCTGCCAGGTAAACACAACAATCATTTATTTCTTGTTTGATAAATGTTGCATGCATACAAATGCTCAGGTCAGAAGAATTTCAGTGCCATTTCTACACCGTAGCTTTGTGCAGATGACAATAAAACCTTAGCATCTTTGAATCTTGAATGCTGTTTTCTTTACCATCATTGTTTACAACTCCTGTAATAAAAACAATCCCTGATTCCTCTCTGGTCCTCAGATCTTCTCAAAGTTCGGCACGGTGCTGAGGATCATCGTCTTCACTAAGAACAGTCAGTTTCAGGCTCTGCTGCAGTACGCTGAAGGAGCCTCCGCCCAGTCAGCCAAACTGGTGAGCATCACACCCTGCCACACACACACACACACACACACACACACACACACACACACACACACACACACACACACACACACACACACACACACACACACTTTAATAACATTTAGACATACACACACACATACAAAAGCTATCACTATTTATTCATGATTCATTCCTTATTATTGTTATTTTATTGTATGTTTTAATAATGTATTTCTTTCCGATGCAGTCATACAATCAAACATATGTACCATATCAAGCACAATCCCCCTTTAACACTCGGTTACAACACAAATGAAAGTTACGGGGACTTTAAGATGTTATATTGATTTCAAACACAGAATTTGCACTTAATGCATTAGAGAGTCCCAGTTAAATTGGAGAGGTGTTGAGCAGCTGTTCTCTGTGCGTTCCAGTCTCTGGACGGACAGAACATCTACAACGGCTGCTGCACTCTGAGGATCAGCTTCTCTAAACTCACCAGCCTCAACGTCAAGTACAACAACGAGAAGAGCCGCGACTTCACCAGACCAGACCTGCCCAGCGGGGACAGCCAGCCCACCATGGAGCACCCGGGCATGACCGCCTTCAGTAAGACACACACATACACACATACATACATACATACATACATACATACATACACACACACAATAATAAATAGGAAGGTTTCATTGAGAGACTCTCTAAGTCAGAGTTTTAAGAAAAAGTCAGAATTTTGAGAAGAAATTTCATATTTTTTTGTTAATTTTCAGAAGAAAGTCGGAATTGTAATTAAAAAATCTTGAATTTGAGAGATGGAAATTGGGGGGAAAAGTCAGAATTTTGAGGAACTGTTGAGATTTTCTGTTGCTGAACCACGTGCTTGCAGGATCAGGAAATGAAGTCCACATCCAGAGAGTCTTGCATGTATAGAGTGTCATGGGTGATTCTCTGACTGACTGCTTTGTTCTCTGCAGCTCCAGGAATCATCTCAGCCGGCCCGTACGGAGGAGCGGCCCACGGCTTCCCCCCCGCCTTCACCCTGCAGCCCACAAGTGAGTCTCACCTGTCTTTTTTTTTACTTTATTTTAAATTGTTTTGTCAATACACAATAGACATACACAAAACATTACATTGAAAATACACACAACACAGAATATACGAATACATAGTTAAACACAAAATAACAGTATTTCAGAGGTCAGAAAGTGCATTGTCCGATCGCCTTTGTTCAATCACGTTGACTCATTACGGTCCATGGTAAAGTCAAGGCTTTTTCTCCTCCTTAATTCGTTTAGGATATGTTTAATGATAGTGCCACTGTTAATGGTTTAGCATCTGGTTTTCCATATCTGCATGCATGTGATGCAGATTACCAGCTTGAGAAGTTCTCTCTTTTTTTTGTATCCATCTTTTCTCTGAATATACAATACTCCCACCTGTCCACAGTACCTCAGTAACTCAGTTGACTGCATGTATAACTAGACTATAAACTACTGTAGATAAATAATACACTGTTTTCACAATAACATCATTTTGACGGACAGGATCGCAACATTTCCGTCAAAATCCATTATAACCCGTCGGCCTGTACACAACTCTGCTGGGGGGCAGAGAGAGCACGCTCGTGAACTGTCAACGGGGGGTGGACGCTCGCTCGTGAACTGTTAGCGCCCTGTTATGCATGCCCACAGCACCTCGCGGGAGCGCGCACAGCGTAAAGCAAATACTTTTGTTGATCTGTTCGGCAAAGTTAGGTTTGGAAACGATATAATTTCCTTTTGGGCGGGCATGCATAACACGGCATAATACCGGAGCCTCGCTGCGGGGATACTTTGCCGCTGTTCTGAGTTTGTTCTAATCTGTCAAAATGACGGACGGCTTTCAGATTTTTCCGTCATTGTTAAAAAAAAAAACGTTATAGACGAAAAATATTCGGTTAACGCGACCTCTGATCTTATCTTATCGTAACAATTTAAGAAAAAGTTCAAACATTGAGCAGGAGAAGTTTGAAGCCAAAAATGGGCTTATTGATACAGATAAATAAGATACCTCCTTGGATACAAATAATCATATTAATCAAACAAAATGTCTCCCTCTCCCCCAGTGTCCTCCCACTACCCAGGTCTGGTCCCCGGGATGCCCGGAGGCCTCGCCGCTCTCTCCCTCCCTGGAGCCTCCAGGCTGGGGTTCCCTCACATCTCTGCAGGAGTCTCTGTCCTGCTGGTCAGCAACCTGAACCCAGAGGTACTTTATAAGATGACTAAACTTCTGTACGCTATCCACAATTTGTCTAAATGTAATGGAAGTAATAACAGAAATGACAGTTAAACCATCACAAAATCACAAGTATAAGGCCGTACTGTTAACAGCAGTGACAGACATTTCTACTGTATTTACAGAATAACATGCATAGCTTTCCACCCTTTCAATGGGAAGCATTCCACATAATAGTGCATCAAATATAACAAAGCAGAAGATTTTAAGAGGGGTTGCCACACTTAAATCGGCACTGACAGTCAGTTTTTTATTTGACGAGAAAAAGGGTTGGCTCTAAAAATAAAATAAAAACTTTGAAATTAGTAAAGAATATATAGAAATGCAAAATAATACTATTAAAATTATGCACTGCTATTATTCAGAGATAAATCAACATATATTTAATGTATTATTATGACATTATTTATTTCCAATTAAAACATTGTCCTATAGTGATATCAGAAAGATATTTGAGTGTTCTGTCCTGTGATTGGCTGTTTGAGTCATGTGTTTTTATCCTTGTGTCTCACCTTGTAATGTTTTTAATGCGTTCACATTATCATGTACACACACACCTGTCCACCCACCTGTCCACCCACCTGTCCACACACCTGTCCACACACCTGTCCACACACCTATCCACACACCTGTCCAATCACATTGATATCATTATCTGACCCCTCCTCTCCAGGTAATTAACCCTCTGATTGACCCCTCACCTGTCTTTTTTGTTTTTTCTCCCCTTATTTTAATTTGTTGCCATGGAAACGCCTCGGACACCTCCACCTGTCCTGCCCTCCCACCTTTACCTGTCCTGTCCCTCCGCTGCCTTCTCTGCTGTCTTTAAAGAGAGTTACGCCCCACTGCCTCTTTATTCTCTTCGGTATGTTGTCACTAGCTTCTTATTTTGAAATTATTTTTGTTGAATTTCACGATTTTGTTTTTTCTTCTTTTTAATTTTGTTAATGAAAAGTGGAATTATTGTCTGCTGGTTTTGTCAGATTCTGCGTGATGATTTTGGTTTATTCACAATATTTGCAGCTTTTTATACATGTTTTTTTACAACGGCAATAAATATGGTGCCGGGAAGGGGGAATTTTTATTTTAAGTAGTTGCAATTTTGAGAAATAGTCAGAATTTGACATTTGAAATTCTGACTTCCGTCAAAACTGAGAAAAAAGTTTTTAAAAATTAAATTCATCGAAAAAGGTCAGTTATTTTTGGGGGGAAAAAATCAGAATTGTAAGATTTTCAGAAAAATTGCAGAATTTTGAGAAAAGTGGCAGAATTATGAAGTGGAAAATTCAGAATGTATAGTTGTTTTTTGTAGGAAATCAAAATCATAAGAAAATAGTTTACATTTTGAGATGTCAGAATTTTTTGTTTTTCATAACAATTTCAGAATATTTTTAGTTTTTGGAAAATTACAGATTTTAAGAAAAATTACAGATTTGTTTTGAAAGTCGGACTTTTCTGATTTTTTTTATTTTCGGACAGCTTAAAGATTTTAAGAAACATTTCTGAAAAACTTTCAGAATTCTGAGATTTTCTGAAAAGTCAGAATTTTGATAAACTCAGAAAGTGATTTTTTCTTTCAAGCTGCATTTATTGTGTTTTATCTTATCTAAGTATAGTCTACATTTTTGAGTTTGCATGCCTGGTTTCTCTCAGTTTGCATGTCCTCAGTGCTGAATCAGCTGCTCGTCAACACTCCCATAATTCAGAGCTCCTACACGGTGTAATCTGCCATCTACCCTTACCCTTAATTTCCCCACTGCATTTCCTGTGTTTCAACGTCCAGAAAAACCCCTGCCTTCTAAATGTAATCCTCAAAGGCGTTCCCGCTCCAGGTTTTACATTAAGTTATTTTATAAGTTTAATTTGAGCGTTAATCTAAGGCTTCTGTAGGGTTTAACAAAGTCTAGATTATTATGTTTATCACTTCCTGTTCAACAACAGCTTAACCTTTGTCTTTGTTTCTGACTAGGTGTTTATGGCGACGTGATGAGAGTGAAGATCCTGTTCAACAAGAAGGAGAACGCTCTGGTTCAGATGTCTGACTGCACACAGGCTCAGCTAGGTAACAACATCCACCTAAAACACTTCTTCTGGTGTTTTTACATTTAGAAAAACATGTTGAAAGCTATAAACCAGCTGTGATATTGATGCTTTTCCCCCTTTCCTACACTTAGAACTACTTTAACAGATATACATATTTGAAGGTCACCTATTATGCAAAATCCACTTCTTCATGTCTCTTCTACATCAACATGTGTCCCCTCTTCTTCATGTCTCTTCTACATCAACATGTGTCCCCTCTTCTTCATGTCTCTTCTACATCAACATGTGTCCCCTCTTCTTCATGTCTCTTCTACATCAACATGTGTCCCCTCTTCTTCATGTCTCTTCTACATCAACATGTGTCCCCTCTTCTTCATGTCTCTTCTACATCAACATGTGTCCCCTCTTCTTCATGTCTCTTCTACATCAACATGTGTCCCCTCTTCTTCATGTCTCTTCTACATCAAACATGTGTCCCCTCTTCTTCATGTCTCTTCTACATCAACATGTGTCCCCTCTTCTTCATGTCTCTTCTTACATCAACATGTGTCCCCTCTTCTTCATGTCTCTCTACATCAACATGTGTCCCCTCTTCTTCATGTCTCTTCTACATCAACATGTGTCCCCTCTTCTTCATGTCTCTTCTACATCAACATGTGGTCCCCTCTTCTTCATGTCTCTTCTACATCAACATGTGTCCCCTCTTCTTCATGTCTCTTCTACATCAACATGTGTCCCCTCTTCTTCATGTCTCTTCTACATCAAACACGTGTCCCCTCTTCTTCATGTCTCTTCTACATCAACACGTGTCCCCTCTTCTTCATGTCTCTTCTACATCAACATGTGTCCCCTCTTCTTCATGTCTCTTCTACATCACCATGTGTCCCCTCTTCTTCCATGTCTCTTCTACATCAACATGTGTCCCCTCTTCTTCATGTCTCTTCTACATCAACATGTGTCCCCTCTTCTTCATGTCTCTTCTACATCAACATGTGTCCCCTCTTCTTCATGTCTCTTCTACATCAACATGTGTCCCCTCTTCTTCATGTCTCTTCTACATCAACATGTGTCCCCTCTTCTTCATGTCTCTTCTACATCAACATGTGTCCCCCTCTTCTTCATGTCTCTTCTACATCAACATGTGTCCCCTCTTCTTCCATGTCTCTTCTACATCAACATGTGTCCCCTCTTCTCATGTCTCTTCTACATCAACATGTGTCCCCCTCTTCTTCCATGTCTCTTCTACATCAACATGTGTCCCCTCTTCTCATGTCTCTTCTACATCAACATGTGTCCCCTCTTCTTCATGTCTCTTCTACATCACCATGTGTCCCCTCTTCTTCCATGTCTCTTCCGATCTTACATCAACATGTGTCCCCTCTTCTTCATGTCTCTTCTACATCAACATGTGTCCCCTCTTCTCCATGTCTCTTCTACATCAACATGTGTCCCTTCTTCTTCATGTCTCTTCTACATCAACATGTGTCCCCCTCTTCTTCATGTCTCTTCTACATCAACATGTGTCCCCTCTTCTTCATGTCTCTTCTACATCACCATGTGTCCCCTCTTCTTCATGTCTCTTCTACATCAACACGTGTCCCCTCTTCTTCATGTCTCTTCTACATCAACATGTGTCCCCTCTTCTTCATGTCTCTTCTTCATCAACATGTGTCCCCTCTTCTTCATGTCTCTTCTACATCAACATGTGTCCCCTCTTCTTCATGTCTCTTCTACATCAACATGTGTCCCCTCTTCTTCATGTCTCTTCTACATCAACACGTGTCCCCTCTTCTTCATGTCTCTTCTACATCACCATGTGTCCCCTCTTCTTCATGTCTCTTCTACATCAACACGTGTCCCCTCTTCTTCATGTCTCTTCTACATCACCATGTGTCCCCTCTTCTTCATGTCTCTTCTTCATCAACATGTGTCCCCTCTGTGTAAAGAGACTCTGAAAGTTTCAGGAACAAAGATTCTCTCTCTTTTTGTCCTGATCCATTTCTATAAAAACCTGTCTGAAAATGAGCTGATCAGATTTTGGCCACTTTGTGATGTCATAATGTTTTTTTGGCTTGTGTAACCATTAGCCAATCACCAACCAAGGTAACCCCCCCCCCACCTTATCACCTGAATCTCCTCCTAGAGCACCATTGAGTTCTTTTTAACCAAATCTCTCTCAGAGGGGCGTGGGGAGGGGCTCCTTATTTTCATCTAAAGTAACAGACAGAGAATCAGCACTTTGGAAACAGGGCTGAAACAGAGGGGATTATGGGATGCTGCAATGATCTGTTTGGTGTTTCAGCCAATCAGAGACAAGTTCTGTATATATCTGAGACCTGTAATATATTGATGAAAAACAGTATGATAGCGGACCTTTAAGATAAAAACATGTCTGACTGGATCGTCCTTCCCCTTTGCAGCCATGAGCCACCTGAGTGGGCAGCAGCTTCACGGGAAGCCTCTCCGCATCACGCCGTCCAAACACACGAGCGTTCAGCTTCCCCGTGAAGGCCACGAGGATCAAGGCCTGACCAAAGACTACAGCAACTCTCCTCTGCACCGCTTCAAGAAGCCCGGATCCAAAAACTACTCCAACATCTTCCCGCCTTCTGCCACCCTTCATCTCTCCAACATCCCGTAAGTCCTCACACTGCAGGAGCAGGAGCAGCCTGTAGACCAAACTCAGGGAGCACTTTATACACCTGACAGAAACCGCCAAATGCTAATTAGTGTGCTTATGTTACTGTTGTGTTTGCAGGCCGTCTGTGGTGGAGGACGACCTCAAGATGCTGTTTTCCACATCAGGAGCCATGGTCAAGGCCTTCAAGTTCTTCCAGTGAGTCCTTTGTTTACTGTCCCTGCTTTCAAAGCCTTACTGGTGTACATAATGCTGCGTTTTCTCACATTGAAATCCTTTGTTGTAAATGTAGAAGCACAGAAACGCGAGAGCAGCTGGCAACTATTCCCAAGCACCTATTTTTAAAGTCTGTGTATAAAATAAAATAGCTAATTTGATCATTTCAATTCAGGGCTAATATTCCTCTGAGCTTTCCACTGTATACATTTTATGAGCACCGTGGCTAATTGATCATTAATACCTTCTTAAAACATGTTTCAATGGCTGTCTGGCAAAAACACACACACACACGTACTCACAGCAACAACAACAAGAGACCCATTGGTGTCCCATGCTCACTCTTTTAATAGACGCCACTTTCATTAATCAGAATCAGATTTCCTTTATTCTTCCCAAAGATGTACATTGTTCCAGCACAGGGACAATACAGCTAAAGACCAAACAAAGTGGAACATATAGAAAGTAATGGAGTAGCTTTTCAGAAAGGTAATAATTGTTAAAGTATATATCTAGTTATTTTACAACACTGTTTTTACTCTAGAACCGCTATCCTTTATCTTAAAGTCAAACGTCCTTTCCTGAAACCCATATACACGTCTTCATTTCTCATCTGTTTTTGTTTTCACGTGTCTTTTCTCGTTCCTATAATCCTTCTGGTCGTCAAATTTGTAAGAAACATTTCAGAATTTGGAGAAAAGCCGAACTTTGAGATTTTGACAAAATATCAGAATTTTCTGAAAGAAATCAGAAATAGATTTTTTTTTTAATTCTTAAATTCTCATCCTTTTTTGTTTTCACGTGTCTTTTCTCGTTCCTATATTCCTGCGGTTGTCAGATTTTTAAGAAAATTCAGTCAGAACTTTGAGAAAAAAACTCAGAATTTTGAGATTTTGACAAAAAGTCAGAATTTTGAGATTTTCAGAAAATTTATATTTTTTTAATTCTCATCCTTTTTTATTTCCAAGTGTCTTTTCTCGTTCCAATATTCCTGCGGTTGTCAAATTTATAATAAAAATGTCAGAAGTTGGAGAAAAGTCAGAATTTGAAGAATTTTGACAACAATTCAGACTTTTGAGATTTTCAGAAAAAAGTCAGAAAATATATATTTTTTTGTATTCTTAAATTCTCATCCTTTTTTGTTTTCACCTATCTTTCTCTCGTTCCAATATTCCTGCGGTTGTCCCACCCTATAAAAACCTTGACTTATCGTCCTCGTCTGTTGTGTTTCTCCTTCAGGAAGGACCACAAGATGGCTCTGATCCAGATGGGCTCGGTGGAGGAAGCCATCGAGTCCCTGATCGAGTTCCACAACCACGACCTGGGAGAAAACCACCACCTCCGAGTCTCCTTCTCCAAATCCTCCATCTGAGCCTCAGAGCGTCTGAACCGTGTCCACTACACTCCCATCATTCCTACGCACGTCTGCAAGAAACCACCGTGAAGTCTGGTGTGATGTTAAATTATTTTTTTAAAACTCATTTTTAGGTTATTTGCCTTCAAAGAGGATTAGGGGGCAATTTAGGGGGGAAAAATGGAGTTTGGGAGGAAGTCAGAATTCTGGATTTTTATGTCGGACGTCGGGGAATGAAGTCGGAATTCTGAGTTTGTCAGAAATAAACAGATGTTTCGATTATAGTCAGGATTTTGATTATAATGGAGTTATTAGTGCCCTTGTTGGGAAGTTTTTAACCATTAGCCACTCTTGCCTTTTTGACTTTAATCCTGCAATTAAGGTGTTAAAGTTTTTTCTCCTCAACGCTGACTTCCCGACTTAAATAACTCAGAATTCTCCCTTAAATCTCAGATTTCAAGTTGTCCTTAGATGTTCCTAATCCTCTTCTCTAAAGTTTCCCCCTTCTAAAGTAACGCTTCTATCTTTTAAATTATCTGCTCGGACAACGTTTGGGAAGTCAAGAATTTACCCACAAGCCGTCAGAATCTAGTCCGGCCGCGTTTAGGAAGGCCTCGTTAAGGAAGGCCTCGTTAAGGAAGGCCTCGTTAAGGAAGGCCTCGTTAAGGAAGGCCTCGTTTAGGAAGGCCTCGTTAAGGAAGGCCTCGTTTAGGAAGGCCTCGTTTAGGAAGGCCTCGTTAAGGAAGGCCTCGTTAAGGAAGGCCTCGTTTAGGAAGGCCTCGTTAAGGAAGGCCTCGTTAAGAAGGCTTAGTTCGACCTTCATATGATCCCTGTGCCTTATTCCTGGAGTCAGAATGACCTCAACTTTGACATGTTAAAAAAAAATCTCCCATCATGCCTCTGTAAATTGGCAACGAGCAGGTTTACAGTTGATAAAGGTTTACTGTTAATGTATTACAGATATATCCTTATTTTATGTGTATTTTATTGGTGTTTTTTCTTTGTTAGTGTTTTGTACTGCTGGTTACTGTAGCGTCGAACATGTGAACGGATTCTGTTGTAGCGGGTTTTTTTTTAGATACTCTTTTTTTTCTCCTCTATTCCTCTTTTGATTTCTTTATTTCCATGTATGCAATCACGTTTTATTCAAATCAAATATTGTAGCAATATTTTAATCATTCCTGAACTTTTACTTGTTGGCTTTTCTTTTTGTCGGTGGCTCGGCGGTTCTTCTCCTGCTGCCTTTTTTTACAATCTGACGAATGTCGCTTTTTGTTTCTGTCGGGTTGTCTCGTCTTCTCGCTTCGCCTCTGAACGGTTTTTATTTATACGTTTGTGATCCACTACAGCTGAAACCAAAAACGGCCTTTTTTAGATGCAACAAATCCGCCTGCCTCAGGTTTCTGGTTTTAAGGACTTAAGAAAAATAACACACAAAGATGGAAGCTTGTGAACTGGTTTAGGCTTTGGTGGTGTTTTCCTGTGGGAGGTTTTTATTCATTTCTCGACCGCTTCACTGGATCTCTATTGCAAACCCAGATGTAACGTGTGAGTGCCTTCAAACGCAGCGCCGAGTCGGACATCAGGTATTAATTCCTCTTTTACTCCGAGATGAAAGTTTGACGGAGAAGAAAACCCCGCGGCCGTCACAAATGTGCTGAAACTAGAAGGTGCTGGTTTGGTTTATCTGTGTGTCTTAATATTATTACGTCGACATTCCAGCTGCTCATGACGAAGATTCCCCGTTTCACCTGAAGGTTTCCCCCTGAGGCGTGATGCATTCAAGGCCCCTGGGAGGTTTCAGTAGCTGAGCTTTTAAACAGTTACTGAACAGAAGTCCGGACTCATTCCAGAGGTTCAGAGGAGGTTCCCATACAAGAGTTAAACTGACTACGTTTATACGCACACAATAATATAATTTAAGCCCTTTTTCTGGATGAAGGACACTTCCCTAGCTGTTAGCATGAATATTGTATATAAATGTTTAACTTTTTCCAGTTAGCATGCAGCTGTGCATTTTCCTAATAACTCAAATGTTTTTTCCAACTTTTACCACCGGTTGTTGACCCTTAAAATGTGTTGATATACAATTCTTTAATACTTTGAAAACGTACACATACACCAATTGCAATTTTCCCTACAAACGTAAAAAAAAAAAAAATGAAATGATAGAAAAATAATAAGCTTTGTTTCAATCGTTCAACTTTGAATGAGCCAAATTCAATCAAACCAATTTATGAAACTCCTATTTCTGCACTGTTCCATGGCCTTTTCAGCCTGCTCTACAGTCAATACGCGATGCAAACCATTTTTAGTACAAAGGCACTAAGTCACGGCAGCAAAACAGTGAACATTGAACCGGCAACTCTTCAGTTCCCAAGTCTAGAGACTGAGCTACTGAGCCAATTAAGGCTCCAAATATCAATACATAATATCAAATGTAAATGGCATGTTTTAAAACTGCATGTAAGTGTGCATGTTAACGTAGTATTTAGTATTTTTCTTGAATATTACCCCATTCTGGTTTCCATAATGAATTTATTCTTTCTTTCAATGGCCTTAATTCATGTCACAAATACAATATGTTTCAGAAAATCGCCGCCTGTTACATTCCCAGTGATTTAGTCTGTGTGTAAGATCATTTTCACACAGTGTGGAGGAGCTTAAACATTCACACACACCATCACATCAACGCTAATGATGTGAGCAGCTGTTTTCTCCCAGTGGACCAATGAAAACCTGCTGGATGTAAATAATAGTTTTGTTAATTCTTTCTGAAATTCCTTTAGTGTTTCTGCCAGAAAAATGAAAGACACAATGGCATTAAGTCCTGTATTTTCTGACGGATACACACCACATTCACAGTTATTTCCCATGGGCCTTGAATGCATCACGGCCTCAGTGTGGGGGTGAGGCGGGTGAGAGGAGGAGGGCGGGGGTGTTGAGCTGTAAATACGTGTTTTATACCACAGTGACGTGTCAGAGCTGATGGTGGTTTTATATCTGATGTATATTTTGATTCAAAGTGAGCGCCCGGTTCTGAGCCTTTCACTGTTTGTGTCACAAAACGAAAACAAGAAGCAGATTAAAATCACTTTTTATCAGAAAACTCTGAAGGCACGAGTCGTCTGTTTATATCGAACACTGTCGATGTTTGTATGATGTTGTGATGAAAATAAAAAGACAAGAAGAGACGAGAAGCAGAAACAGTCTGATGTTTTTGGAAACATTTTTACTTTATTTTCTTCATACTTTATTGCAGTTTTTAATATAAATCTCCTTTTTCTTACATGTGGTGTTAATGCTTTTAGCATTCCTACAAGGGTTGTGTCGTTTAGTGTATATTCCAGGGTTCTTACGGTCATTGAAAACCTGGAAAAGTCATGGAAATTCAAAATGCTAATTCCAGGCCCTGGAAAAGTTATGGAAAACAATATCTTTCCCAAAGTCATGGAAATGTAACTAAAGTTGCATCAAATATAATTTATATTTTATCTAATCGCCGAAATAGTAATACTATAATGATAATAAATACTGTATAGTAATTAAACGTAAAATGTCATTTAACTGACGAGGTATTTAGCTGGTGAGAGATTTTAGTTGCGTTAGCGTGTAGAAGCTAGTAAGCCTACTATTTGATTTGTTTTAGATAGGCACAACATGTTTCATATGCAGACCTGATTTTCCTGTTCCATGTTAAAATAAACCATTTTCAGTGGTACGCTGAGAAAGTCATTTTTTTGGTCATGGAAAATTAGGTAAAGGTCATGGAGAAGTCATTGGTGAAAAAGTGTATAAACCCTGATATTTAAGATTAATAAATCAGAGAGACTCATTTATTTCACAGAACAATAAATACCAAACTTTAGGAATTTCAACAAGTTAATTCACAGAAAATACATTTTTTGTTTATGTAAAAACATTTCATGGTTCCAGATTTGCTGCTTTTACTTTACATATAAAAATGTATTGGTTATATTTTTGGGCTAAACAAAATTAATGGTATGAAAAAGAAAACTGTTAATGGTTGAAAATGAGCTCCAGCCCAAACAATCCTGCTTTTACCTCAATGCATGAAAAACAATATTTAACTTTAACTAAAATATTTATATTAAGTTTCATACTGATAAGGTACATTTCCAATGCTCGAGTAAGAGTATTTTGACTGTGTAATATCAGTAATATTCACCTGTTTTTTTCAAACTCAATTTGGTCTTCATCTTCCCTGTTATGACCGTCTGTTCCCAAGATGTTCAATGAGGTGACGTTTTATTTTAAATGATTAGGAGTTATCTTCAGTTTCTGTACAGTCCTTAAAGAGCAGATACTCAAATATCCCCCTCCTCTAAAGTCGGTCACACAGAAGCGGCTTCAAGTCTGACAGATTCAATCTAACACACACCTTTAACATCAAACTCACATTTATAATGCAGTTTAAATAGGAGAGGAACAACACACGTGAACAGAAAGAATACAAATCTGAAATGTGCTGAATGATCAGAACCAGCAGGTGGCAGCAAACACTGAACAAGACCACAGACCAAGACCGAAGAACGCCTTCTTATATACACAACAGACTGTATATGGTTGGTCACTGGTGAGTTAACAAAACCGTACTCAAGTCAAATTATGATTACTTTATAACTTTATTGATGTAGGATTAGAAGTACTTTAATCTCTTAAAACAACAACAGAACTACTAGAGCAGGGGTGTCAAACTCAAATACACAGTGGGCCAAAATAAAAAAATGGGTACTAGTCGAGGGCCGGACTGGTTCAATGTTTATTGCAGAACTTATTGAAATGAACTTATTGCACATATTAAACCTGGAACTAACAAAGCTTAAATGATTGCCTATAAAAACAACATGAAACATTAAATAATCAGTTGCATTCATTTCTTATGGCTCTATCTGCAGCTTTTCCAGAGTCATTTCTTATGATTACATTTCTCCACAGGCCAACAACAGCTTCAACAAAACTATTTCCCTCAAAGAGAAAAACAAACATGCCCTGTTGTCTCAAGAAAGAGTGCAGAAGGAAACATCCATGTAAACTCAGTGTGCTGCTCTGTGATGCTAGTTCAAGCCAGATACTTGGCATCTCATCTTGGGTGCAAGTTCATCAATGTTTGGGGTCAGGCTCTGAGCTGAGGAGACCCTCAGGATGGAGTGAAGGTGTGCGTGCAATATACCGGCGGGCCAGATCTAATAGGAATTACAAATTATCCTGCGGGCCCAAATTAAATCCACCAAGGGCCTGATTTGGCCCCCGGGCCTTGAGTTTGACACATAGAGAGAATACTATAAATCATGGTAGTTAATTGACGAGTATACCAAGACAATCTATAAGAAACAGAATGCAGTAATCAACCAAAATCTATAAACTTCTTAACATGAAATCCCTTAACTCTCATTTTAAGGCCTTAACTCTTTTGTGAGATTTGAAAACCAGTTTTTTGCCCGTTTAGTTTATTCCCAGAAATACAAAGAACACAACATTCACTTTACACATAACTGTCCGTTACTTCCCCATTAATCATCCTTTCCCTGAAGCACAGAACAAATCCCACTCTATCAAATGTTTAGCAGCACGGTATTAAAACGCAAGGAGTATTCAAACATCAGAGAGGAGGGTATTTTAAAAGCTTAAGGAAAGACTTCTGAATGAATGTCTTAAGTCTTAAATGTATTAAAGTTTTGTTCGATAAGACCCCGAATGCTTTACATTTCTCAGGGAGTCCCGCCAACAAAAACTCGTCGTGACCTTGGACTCCAAAGATGCACATCGGGGCGTTCGGTTGAAGAAATATATTGAAGGCTTCTGATAAAACGTTGAATATTATATCCTAGTGAGTTGTCTTCAAAGCCAAAACATGTGTGTAAGATGAATTGAAGCTTGACACTACATTTAAGTGCATTTATTTAAAGTTTACTCATAGAATAAAGCCAGCAATTCATTACCTTGAGTTGTTATATATGTTACTTTTAATGTCTTTTCATTTTTTCTCCAACCGTTGCATGCTTTGATTCCAAGCCAAGACCGTGACACAGAAGAAGACGACAGGGGGAGGGAGTGTTTGGAGATAATAAAAAACAGAAGAAGTGAAGCGTGGGGTTTCACATTCAGGAGATCTGAGGCTTTACAGACTGCAGGAAGTTCATATCCGTGTCTTCTTACCCCCCCCCCCCCCTATCCCCCCCTATCCCCAAAACCTCCTCCTCTTCCATGCTGGACCGGGGACACGCTGCCGAACAAAGAGGGATTGTGGGTAGAAGGAGAAAAAAAGACGCCGGCACGCCAGCTTGGTCAGCTCTCACACGGCTGTCAAACAGGATCGTCCCAGTGAGCACAACGTTTTACATAATCCTGACACACACACACACACACACACACACACACACACACACACACACACACACACACACACACACACACACACACACACACACACACACACACACACACACACACACACACACACACACGAGTTAAAGTACAAGAGTGTTGGCATTGAAATATACTCAAATAACAAAAAGTACAGAACAAATATTTAGTATAATATTGGAGTTGCAGAGAAGTTATAATGTTGTGATTGGTCTACAGCTTAGAGATGTCCCGCCCCTTAGCCTCTCACGTACAATGTGTTGGAGCACTAGCCAATACAAGTGCGAGTGTTACTTAGTGATGTCACTATGTTCAGAAGTAAACAAAGGAGTCCAATGGAGGCGTTTCTATAAACTTATAAAACACTACAGGAAAGAGAAACCAAAAAAAGCAGAATAGGGCCTAAAAAAAAAAGCCTGATATCCTAAAAACTGTATAAGATGAGTCTACTACATCTCCCAAGATGCATTTCACCAACAAAGCAATTTCTGCTGTTGAACTAAAGATGAAAATGTGTTCAAATAAATCAATTTAAATCGCCTCAATGTAAGATTTTGGATCACTTGTAAATTCAGTACCAGCAGCTAATGCTCATGGGTAATGTAGTTTTTATTAATAATTTAAACAGCTTTTTTTGACAATGAGTCCCTTCAAAATAAAAGTCTCTGCTTCATGTTTCTCCCTTTCATCGACCCTACCTCCTCCTCACTCCCTTTCCTCCCTCCCTTTCCTCCTCCACTCCTCCTCCTCCCCTAAGGATGATTGACAGTTCACAGGAGACACTGATTAAAGATCTTCAGTTGATCTTTGATACTTTTTTTAATCTCCCTCTTCCTTGAAGATTATTTATTTTCTTCCTTTCTTCTTTTCTTTTGTATTTTCTCTCCCTCACCTCGCCTGACATTTCCTCTCTTTTCTTGTTCCCGCTCATCCTGACCCTAAACCCTTTATCCATCTTTTTTTATCCAATTATTCCTCACTCCTGGTTTTAAACTGAACCAACTCTTTGTGTCTCAGAAACCGGCTGCTTTATATCTCAGAATAAGAATTTAACATTTAATCATTTAATCAGGCACCTAATTAATTAAATAGAATTCAACATCAGTGAATAAAGATGTCAAATACAAGATGTGTTCAGGTCTAAAGATTCAGACCTGAAATGATTAAATCAATTGTGTGTTATATACGTTTTAGTGCATGTCTCTCCCATACACTCCCCCCCTGCCTAAAACACATAGTGACATCACAACGTAACACTTGTGCTCCTATTGGCTAGCACTCCCGACACATTTTTCGTGATAGGCCAAGGGGCGGGACATCTCTAAGCAGTCGACCAATCACAACAGAGCCTGCCAGCTAACCAATCAGAGCAGACTGGGCTCTGGTTTCAGACAGAGGGTGAAAAGAGGTGCTGCAGCACAGACAGTATGAGAAAAATAAAGAGCTTTTTGAACATTAAAGCATGGAGACATGTAGAGACACTACATACTGATATACACCTGAACATCAGCAGGAGAGGACTCTTTAAAGTAGAGACACTACATACTGATATACACCTGAACATCAGCAGGAGAGGACTCTTTAAAGTAGAGACACTACATACTGATATACACCTGAACATCAGCAGGAGAGGACTCTTTAAAGTAGAGACACTACATACTGATATACACCTGAACATCAGCAGGAGAGGACTCTTTAAAGTAGAGACACTACATACTGATATACACCTGAACATCAGCAGGAGAGGACTCTTTAATGTAGAGACACTACATACTGATATACACCTGAACATCAGCAGGAGAGGACTCTTTAAAGTAGAG